ACAGAGAAAAATCTATTATTGCTGTTGCAAAGTCTGATGAGGCGTTGGCTGAGGGAACTGGGGTTGTTCAGTCTGGCGAAGAGGAGGCCGAGGGGAGACCTCATCGCTCTCTACAACTACCTGTAAGGGGGGGTTCCTGCCTTGGCAGAGGGGTTGAACCAGATGATCTTCAGAGGTCCCTTCTCAACCCATACCATTCTGAGATTCTGTAGTGAGGTGGGTGTCAGTCTTTCCTCCCAAGTAACTAGCGATAGACGAGAGGAAATGGCCTCAAGTTGCGCCAGGGGAGGTTTAGACTAGATATTAGGAAACATTTCTTTACTGAGAGAGTGGTCAAGCATTGGAAGAGGCTGCCCAGGGCGGTGGTGGAGTCACCGTCACTGGAAGGGTTCAAAAAACGTGTAGACGTGGGACTTCAGGACATGGATTAGTGGGCTTGGTGGTGTTGGGTTGATGGTTGGACTCAATGATCTTCAAGGTCTTTTCCAACCTTAATCATTCTATGCATGTATCTGCATTTAAATGTTTAAATGGAAAATACGCCAAAATCAATCCACAGGGTTATCTTTTCACTTTTCAGTTTTAACTGTAGTTCATCTGTGCTATTTTCTGTATGGATCAATTTGAAATTTCTCTATCATAGATAGTGTCTAGTTATGAGTTTTACTTTTCCTGCCCTCAATTTTCTGTTCCATTAGAACTGTTGTTATTGCTGAATGTTGAGATTTTAAAGAATAGATAGAAGATACTGATTTAAATTGGAGCCATCCATAGCGGTTTCTTAGATTTGTTACTGTTTTCCATTACAACAGTTCTGGCTGCAGCGGCTTCTGTACAACCACTTGCAACACAGTGCTTCCAACTTTCCAACATGTTCAATCCTCAAACGTAAGTGATTTATCATTGATAAATTATTGATACTGATATTACCATTCTCTGTTTCTGTCTGGCATTTGTTGATGGCTTTAACATCTGAGAAAGGAATCAGAATGTTGCAGAGGTGTGGGTTTTTTATGGGTTTCGTTTTGTCCTATTGATAACAATTGCACCTCTATCCTGTTCTTCCTCTAACCCCTATAGTGAAGAAGAAGCTGGCTGGGATACGGAAATTAAAGATGATGTGATTGAGGAATGTAACAAACATGGAGGAGTTATCCACATCTATGTAGACAAAAACTCAGCTCAGGTATGCCTGGTTCCAAGGAGATGCTGAGAAGATTTTTGTTTTGTTGCTTTGTAGTATATAGAGGGAGCATTACAAATACTGGGTTTGGGGTTGTTTTTTACTAAACTGAATCTAAATTTCTTGAAGGTACTTTGCAGTTTTTCTAGAATGTAGATGGTTCCCTGCTGTTTTGAGTCACTGTGTGTAATTTAAATGCAGGTATGAGAGCAGTTTTCTAGTCTTGCAGTCTGCTCTTACGTACTTACGCAGTTGAAGTTAACTGTGGAAATACAGGATGAAGAGTAATGACCTCTCTAATTCTGGCATTTGGCTTTTCCCTTAATCTGTGCATTTCCCAAAAGCCAGGGACTTCCTGTTTCCTCTTGTTCCTAGAGAATACAGGCTTTAGCACAAAGGACACGCTGCTCCAGCAGACTTGAGATGTGCGGTTAAATGTGCTCCTAATCCCATGGTTGGAAACAGTTGTTTTCACTAATAATGTTAAAGTCTTGCAGTGGGCAAGTAGGAGTGCCTAGAGCTACAACAGGGAGGAAAAGAAAAAGGGCTACTGATGGAGACTTAATTCCAGGTTAATCCCTGTTTGAGGGACTCTGAGCCTGCATCTTAAAAAGGCCAGTTTTTCTCTTGTCTTCACTTTTTGTTTACACAATGCCCAGACTGGTTATCTCTTCCCCTGTATTTCAGCTCTTAAAATATAAACTGTGGAACATCTGTAAAGAGATTTGGCCTTCTGGAACCCCGTTTATATAGAATTCATAGCCCAAACAAGTACAGTTTTCAAACACTTTCATGGTCTGATGTTTAGCAACTAATCTGACTCTGGAAGTGTCCCCTGAGTGAACTGGGGTTGTTCAGTCTGGAGAAGAGGAGGCTGAGGGGAGACCTTATTGCTCTCTACAACTACCTGAAAGGAGGTTTTAGTGAAGTGTGTGTCGGTCTCTTCTCCCAAGTAACCTGCAATAGGACGAGAGGAAATGGCCTCAAGTTGTGCCAGGGGAGGTGTAGACTGGATATTAGGAAAAAATTCTGTACAGAGTGGTCAAATATTGGAAGAGGTTGCCCAGGGAGGTGGTGGAGTCACCATCACTGGAAGTGTTCAAAAAAAGTGTAGACATGGCACTTCAGGACATGGTTTAGTGGGCTTGGTGGTGTTGGGTTGATGGTTGGACTCAATGATCTTAAAGGTCTCTTCCAACCTTAATGGTTCTGTGATTCTGTTTCATTGGGCGAGGCTGAAATCTACACTACTGTCCCTGCCAGGGATTGTTCTGCCCTGGTAATGCACTTGGCACTCGCAAACATTTGTTATCACTGTGCTGCTTCTACAGCAGACTTCTGTCACCTGAAACCCTTTCATGTGATTTACTGAGATTAGAGATGAGTTGCAGTGTAGCATGTAAAACAACAATCTTTCCTAGCATTTTTAATCTTCAAGATCACTGCTATGTTGGACTACTGGGGTGATGGGAGGTAGAAGCCTTTCCCACAGTATATTAGTCTATTATTATCGTAGAGAAAACAAAGTGTCCTTTGACAGATGGGTGGAGAACCACACCAAGAACACTCCAAAAAAATGCAATAGCCCTCAACATACCTCACATCGGTTCTGAGCACATTGAGCTGCAAATCTGGTTCACATTAGCAAGTGGATTTAAAAGAAAAAAAACCTGCAGCTCCTTGTCATGAGTTAAGTGTTTGTTACATGAAATCCATTTTGTCACAGTAGCACAGCGATGACCTGGATATAAAATACTCACTGATACTTAAAAATGCCGTATTTGAACACAAGTGTCCACTGTGCTGTTCTGTTTTCCAGGCTTAGACTCTGGTCATGTTATCTTCGAAGTGTTTTCATCTCCCATCTTTTTAGGGCTCTTTCACAGGCAGCCAAACTTCCCAGGCTAAGGGCTGTCAGTAATCAGGTGTGAAGATGTGATTTGTTGTGGGTGAAAAGATTGCAGTCCCAGCTGCACATGGTCTCATGTATGGCACCAGTCCACATTGTGGTGTGTTAAGGAAAACTAAAGCTTTATGTTGCTGCCTCTCATTTAAAGGCTTAAGCAGTTTGGATGCCTGTGCAGGAGGAGGCTGAGAACAGAAGTGTGGGTGTTAATTGCGTAGTGCTATAAACATCAGCCCCTTATCTCAAGTTTCCCCCTTGAGAAGGAATGAGTTAGATCACAGTGGGAAGAGTTAGTACAGGCTGGCAAAGGCTGCTAAAGGCAAGGCTGGATTCGGTTTCTTAATACATTCTTTCCCTGCAAAATCTGTTTTGGCTAGAACCTGATCTGGTTCAAGAATTGCTGGTAGTATATTTTTAAGCAGGCAGCTAGAAAAATGCATACATATTACTGTGGGTGTCTGTATGACTTGCACTTGTTGAATGTGAATATTGCAGTACTCTGGATTAGGCTGGTTAAAGTGCTTAATTTGCAGATAGAAATGTCAGGTATCTCTGGCAAAGTTAGAAGATCAGTCTGTCATTCATGTTAGATATCATAGGCTCTTCTTGCCCTGCTGTGATGGGTTTCTCACCTTTATCTTGGTCCTTGTTCAAGTAAAGACAGGCAGATGCTGAAGTTCGTGTAGGAGAATTTTTACAGCACCAGTCTTCCTTGAAATGCGGGACATCCTTCCTGCCATAGGGAATGGGGAGTGCTTCATCCCTTTGAAAACCAGACTGTGAACTCAGATAGTTACGCAATTGTGGTTGAAGTTGGTGATTTACAGAACTTGATGGCTAGCCTGGAGTAGAGGTAGCCAAACTCCTTGTGCTTTTTTGTTTCACACGATAATTGTAATCAGGAGCCATTAGATACTCTCTCTGAAGGGTTATCATGAGCAAGAAAGGAATCCATTACTTGCTGATTTTAGATCAAGCTCACGTTAGGTCTGTTTTGCAAAATTCTATTTAGAAAAGTTTCATGCTAAGGTAACTGCTACAGTGTGGTACTGCATGTTAGTAAAGAACGGTGTGCTACGCTGTCTTCTCATGCCCATTCTGCATTATTGGTTAATAGCAGCAGGAACATAGTGAGGCAGATTTGCCTCAGTCACAGCCACGCCAAGGAATTGTCCTGAGAATAGATGATGTGGGACGTTTCTTGAGCTTCTAATGGACTGTAATGCTTCTGTATTACAGGGCAACGTGTATGTCAAATGTCCTTCAATTGCTGCTGCCATTGCAGCTGTAAATGCGTTGCATGGGAGGTGGTTTGCAGGTGAGTGGATTTCATGTAGAGACCTACATTTATTCATTAATTACAGAAATAACCAAATACTGTTGTTTTTTTTTTAATCTTCTGATTAGGTAAAATGATTACAGCAGCATATGTACCTCTTCCAACGTATCATAGCCTTTTCCCAGATTCTATGACTGCAACCCAACTACTGGTTCCTGTTCGACGATGAAAATGGATTTAGTCAGTTTTGTACATAGTTATTTTTTGGAGGAAGATTGAGTTATCTTTTATTTAGATAAAACTAAAGGAAAGGATTTAATGTCATTTTGTGTACACTTCCTGCTACCTTTAAAAATAAAATGAAGTAAGCAGAAATGCAGTGTGTTCATTCTCCCTAACTAGCATTTCCACTGTATACAAAGCTGTTGACTTCTTGTTCTGCCTTGTAATTCTTGTACATTTACTAAGGTGATCTGTAGGAACTGAGAAGTAGCTCATAGAAAAAAAAGTTCTCTGTAAAAGGCAGATGGGACATAATGACATTTTTAATGTGTCACAAGCCTTTCTTTTAATGCAGCAATTACATTTTACATTTCACTAAATGTAGATGATCTGCTAAAGGTTAATATCGGAGGTAGACTTTATGAAGGGACATATTTAGTGTTTTGTATAAATGGAAAATTCAAAAGGCTACTGAAAGCTGACTCTAGACAGCCACTCAGCTTGCTTTGTGCTGAATAATTGGTAAGAATAGAAGGATTGAAGGGTTTTATTTCTTGATGGTAACTTTTGATTAATGTATCTGTAAAAGTTTCTTTGTAAATACTGTGTGAGGTGTGTCTAAGTTTCCAAACAAAACGATCTCTGCATTTCCAGATAAGTTTCTATGTAGGCAGTGCGGCACAGTTGAAGGATTTCAGCCGAGTCTGAAAATTGGTAGGAAATACAGAAACATGTTTTGTTCTGGTTGCATATAATCTTTGCTCTTTTTAAGCTCTGTGAGCTCTGAAATATATTTTTGGGTTACTTCAGTGTGTTTGACAAGACAGCTTGATATTTCTATCAAACAAAGACTTTCATATTGCAACAATCTTTGTAAGAACCACTCAAATAAAATTCTCTTAAAAAGGCCTTCACGAAGCTTTATTTCTCTGTTCTCTTAAGAACGCAGCAGTGTGTGCTGAAGACAGGAGGTGAGTGATAGATGCTTTGAAATGGTAGATGTTTGGAATACCACTCCTCGGGGAGGAAATGCAGGAGCTCTGTGTACTGCAGCTGTGGTTAAGGGCCAGTGGGCAGCTCTTGCCCTTTCTCAGGCCTGCTGCAGCTTCATTCTAGGGATACTGCCCCCACTGCCCACCTCTGCCTCTGTCTCTCTCAAATGGTTGTGTAGGAGTGACTCATGTTGGCTTCTAGTCTGGTTTCTGTAGGGCAGCCTGCCCCAGCAGATTGCTCTTAGTACCCCTTTCCCACCACTGTGTGATTTTTTTTTTTTTAATCACTGGCTAATAAAAGCTGTGTTTGACAAAGGTGTAGGGAGTATGTTCCACCCAGGTGGATGGAAATTGGTCAGGCAGGGATGCTGCCCCTCCTCCAAGAGAGAACATGGTGGTGACCTGGTCTCCAGCCTTCCTGGGTGCTTCTGTTCAGGGTGGCTGTAGCTGAGGCTGAGGCTGCAGCATAGCAAGAGAATGTCTCGAGCAGTCCAGGAGAGAGCCATGGGAGGAAATGGGACCAGGTAATTGGAGGCAGTACAAAAGTAAACGTAGAGAGGGGCCAGGAACATACTACAGGAGGAGTGTCTTAGGAGCAGCTGAAGAAAGCCAGGCAAAGCTGTGCTCTGGTTTTGACGTTATTTATGGTTTTAGTTGCCACTCTTCATCTAGTGATGCCAGTTGGAGTAAAACCTGAGCTGTTCCAGAGAAGCTGTGTTGCTTGACATGGTTGCCATTGGTACAGTTTCTCTCTGAGGTTACTAAGCTGCATGACAGCAGAGCAGGCTTTTGTGGCAGATTTGCATTTCTCCCATAAAAACTGGGGAAAGAACACTTACATGACATAAAGGGTGTGTAGGTGCTGGTTTAGGTTCTGCTGCTGCTAACCAGTCCTATCCTTAAACAGAAATAAAGGAGGAGCAGAGCTAAGCCTTGTTTCAAAAGGCAAATCTGCGGAGATTGCAACACTAAACATTCCGTAGCTCAGCTGTGGGCAGTGCTACAGAGGCTGGTGAAGGGCAGGGACTCATACCCTGTTGCAAATCTGTGGAGATTGCAACACTAAAGTAAACATTCCGTAGCTCAGCTGTGGGCAGTGCTACAGAGGCTGGTGAAGGGCAGGGACTCATACCCTGTTTTCCCTGGAAAGCCTTGAGCAACTTGTAGGCCTGTTAAGGCAGATTGTAGAAAAAAATCCATTTCTGGTAGCTCAGCTCCTACAGGTGCAGCCCCTTTCCTTGCCAAGAGAATGAAAAAAGTCACTGGAAGTTCCTGTTGCTGGAGGGGGCTGCAACCACTGCTTCAGCCCTTCCCTTCGTTGGAAGGGCTCTATAGCAGAGTGCCCCTCACCTCACCAAGTGTGTAAGGCTGCACCCTCCAGAACCGTGAAAGAGGCAGTGTAGTTGGGCTGTGCTGTTTGGTGCTGGTAACACAGTAAACCTGCAGCACAGCTACTCCTGAGGGGAAAGCTTTAAGAAAAGCATTGCACAAGACCTGACAAAGAGGTTGCATCTCCCATGTCTGGTGTCAAAATCATCCTTGTGACTCATCACAAAATACCTCAGCTGTCATGTGACACAAGCAGTTTTCCATTCTCCAGCCATTTAATGATTTCAAGCTCTAGTAGCATAGCTGTAACTGTTCTGTGCTCTTCCCTGACTGCTTCCAGCAGGCTGGCTGGCAGAAGGTGCCCAAGCTGCTGTAGTTTGCCCTCAGTTACAGAAGGACTTTCTCAAGTCCTGGGGTCCCTCGCTCTCTGCGAGGGCATTTGCCCCATATTACCTGGAACTCTGAAATGGGGCCAGCTTCAACCCACCCAATTTTTGCAAGAAGAGAGAAATTTGATAGTTGATCTGAATTAGCCACAGAGTAACTTTCCTAGACTTGGAAATGCACAAATGCAACGGGAGCAGCTCCCCATCAACACAGTGGGAATGTGAGCTGCCCAGGTACCAAAGGGAGAAATGTGTGCACTGTACTTACGCCTGTGAAATAGGAACTTTAATGTAGCACAAAGCATTATTAATTCTCATTGTCACAGGAGTAAGAGATGGGAGAAAAGTAGAAATTTGGTAAAAAGCATGTTTACAATCAGAAGAACAAGGACAGTGCTGCACCATTTCACGAAGAGCTCTCACTTCCAGGTATCTAAAGATTTTATTATGGTACAGAGAAGAAACGGAGGGGGGCACCCCTGGATAAAACCCAAGCTCCAGGTTAGCAGCGGATTCCCATACCAATAGCCATGAATGTCCCAAACGTCCCACCACTTTGCATCATTGTTTTGCCAACTCCACCCATCAGCTCTCGTCCTCTCATGCCAATCCTGAGATAAAGAAAAACACAGGAATTATATAAAAGCCAAAACCTTACAGGTAACAGACATGCAGCAGAAAACATTCGATACAACCAGCTAATGGTGGTCAGAGCATGCCCAAATCAAACACCACCTCTTCAGTCTAAATTTAAAATGATACTGCCTGCCTCTGCAAGGAAATGGGCTGCGGTGCCCCATGCCTGAGCTACTAGACCTGTTCTCTTTGGAGCATTTGAGTAACCCTCACCAATGGCCCATGTTTTTCCTGCAGCGCTACCAGCTGATACTGTACCCTCCTGCCACACCACTAGCAGGAACAGCATAACCTGCTAGTACCCCAAATACCCTTAATTTGAGCTAAAAAAAACTTGTGCTGTCCAAGATTTGACTTGCCAGACAATAAAAAAGGTCTGAGCTGTTGTATTATAATCCTGTCTGGCTGCAGTGGCAGTATTTTTAATACCACCAACTTAAAACCGTGTTGTAAACTAACTTCCTATTTACCACTGGCACCATATTTTTAATACGAGAAAAACTTGAAAGGCCTAGAAGTGTCCAGAGGCATTTCTGTTCTCCAGTTCCCATCTACCTGAGGTCAGACAGAAACAAAAAGAATTGCTCCTTCTCAGGAAGCTCTTGGAATATTTGGCTTTTAAGCACTGCAGTGACTGTAGGGTCTAAGGAATTTCATGCACTTGATTTTTAAAATATGGAGATTTTCTCTCAAAAATGGTACAGCAGAAGTAACATAGCTGTGTCATTCAGGTATGACAGAACCACTGTCACTGCTTCTTCTAAATACCCTAAGTCTGTATTTTCTGCTAGCGTTGTACCACTTACACATGCTCTCCAGGATTGGAGAGAAATCAGAAAACTTTTTAAACACCTCATCAGATTAGACTTACTGGCTTTTCCTCCTTTTAGGCTCACTACTAAATCATCACCCATGTTTAACCACAGATTAAAAAACCTCAAGCAGAGAGAGTTCTGCAAAATATGATAGAGCTTGTTTCAGTAATTCCTTTTCATGGATGATGTGTGCCAAAACCAGTCACGGAACCGCGCAAGAGCTAACTTGGAGCAGCGAGCAAAGTTTGTTTCTGTGCCAGCATGGTGGGGAGCGCCAGGGGAAGGTGGAATATTGTCCCTCTTCAATTCACAATGGGATTGTGCCAGTGCCAGCTACAGCTCTGCCTACACTCTTGCAATTAAGACTCAGGGTCAGTACAGTAATTGCCTCCATGCAAGGGTATGGGACACCCAAAGCAACCATGATGCAGACACCCAAGAGCTTGCAGCGTACCTCGGGAAGCTTTAGAGCAAGGAGAGGGCTGCACATGTATCTGCGCAGACACTTCATCCAGCTCCTCCTGGAGCTGATCTTCCACCTCAGCTTCTGGGCACAACCTCCCTTACTAGTGGCAGGAAAAGGTCTGCAAAACCGCAACCTCCTTGTGCACAGCTGACCCAGAGGTGATGCCCCACCATTGCCAGACTTTCCCATTTGAGACCAGGGCTGACAGCAGGCTCTTGAACTGTGGCTAATTCGGAGCCACTGGCAAAGTTTCACCTATGTGGCAACACAGGAACAGCCCCGCACCTCCCTTCCCACTCCCCGAGTGGGAGCATTTCTCTCTGGCTATCACTGTGTCATGACCTGTCCATAGAAGCCATTTCCTTGGCATACCTGAGACAGGAAAATGTGCCAAACAGCGCTCCTGCTGCCATGCCCACTGCAAAGCCCATCATGAAGCCCATCTTTACTCTGTCAAAGCAGCTAGGCTGTGATTGCCCGTATGGGCCGACGGTCACAGGCATCTAGAAAAGAAAGCACAAAACCCCACACGGATTTACTGCTTTGTCTAACAACCAAACTGAGCTGGAGAGCAGGTCCACATGTTTCAGAGCTTCTTGTAAGCGTAGTGCTGGAGGCTTTGCAGGCGTTCAGACTTGTTTCCTCGCCTGCCAAGTAGGAAAAGACAAGGAGCGAATGCCAGTGTCTTGATGATGGTCCCGTTTCGCCCTCAGCAAGGCCCTGTGAGCGCCGCTATGTCTCCGAGAGCTGTTTCAGGAGCTCACTCCGTGCTCTTCAGCTCCCAAAGAGCACGGCGTCACCTGGCAAAGCCTCCGCTGCCGGGCCCGAGCT